CCATTCCTTTCGAAGAACTTGGATAATCTGAAAAGCTTGAAAGATAAAATCCTAGACTATGAATTGAAAAGTACAGGATAAAGAGATAGATTTTGTGTGTTTTGTCGGAGGTCCTCTTCTCTTCTTTTGATGAGCTATTTATAAAGCTTTCCTCAGCTCATGGGTTTGGCCATACAACTAACTCTGTCTTGAAAATCCTCCCGATGTTAATGCCTTCCGGAGCTCTAGGCGCGAACTACCCGATGTCTTGGAAATCTTCCCAATATTAATGCCTTCCGGAGCTCTAGGCGCGAACTACCCGATGTCTTGGAAATCTTCCCAATATTAATGCCTTCCGGAGCTCTAGGCGCGAACTACCCGATGTCTTGGAAATCTTCCCAATATTAATGCCTTCCGGAGCTCTAGGCGCGAACTACCCGATGTCTTGGAAATCTTCCCAATATTAATGCCTTCCGGAGCTCTAGGCGCGAACTACCCGATGTCTTGGAAATCTTCCCAATATTAATGCCTTCCGGAGCTCTAGGCGCGAACTACCCGATGTCTTGGAAATCTTCCCAATATTAATGCCTTCCGGAGCTCTAGGCGCGAACTACCCGATGTCTTGGAAATCTTCCCAATATTAATGCCTTCCGGAGCTCTAGGCGCGAACTACCCGATGTCTTGAAAATCCTCCCGATGTTAATGCCTTCCGGAGCTCTAGGCGCGAACTACCCGATGTCTTGGAAATCTTCCCAATATTAATGCCTTCCGGAGCTCTAGGCGCGAACTACCCGATGTCTTGGAAATCCTCCCAATGTTAATGCTTTCCTGTCTTTAAACTCCGCCACTTGTAGGAAAACATCTGCTGGAAAACATCTGCTGCAAACATCTGCTGGAACACATCTGCTGAAACACATCTGCTGGAAAATATATGCTGGAACTTCTGAAATTAGTTTCGTAGGCTGAGCTTTGGACTTGATTTGACATTTGGTGAGAAGTTGTGCACTTGGAGCTTCTGACTTGGTTAAGACTCCCACCAACATTAAGTGGCATGTGAACTCCAAATATTTGGATGTCGGCCGAGTGGGTTCCCCACTCAACCAGACCTCTTAGCCTTTTATTTGATATTGTATGAATGTTGGTATTTTGCATATCACCAAAAACTTCAACCGCACACTCGCCTTCATTTCTTTTTGCAGACCTCCAATGCCTCCAGCCAACTCTTTGCAGCCACGATTTGGCCATCTTTGCAGCCACCATTTGGCCATCTTTGCAGCCACTATTTGGCCACCTTTGCAACCAACACTTTGCAGCCAACACTTTGCAGCCAACGCTCCAAACTTTCCCACGTGACTTGCTGCTTCCTTTGTCCAATTGTTAGTCAACATAACACCACTTTCGGCTGCAACTTTGCATTCATTTTCTAATATATATATATTATATTATATCATACTTGGAAAGCCACACTCAAGCATGACCCAGCAAATCTGCCCCAGCCTAAACAAAAACCCCATCCGCTCCATCTTGGAACTCCCAAGTCACAACACCCAGCCGTGACTTTTTCCTCATTAGAATAAAAAACCCAACCGCAACTTCCAGTGCAGCCCGGCCACGAAAACTCCAAGATTTCAGCCGCAACCTCTTCGCAAGTTTCAAATTCAGTTGTGATTTTCAACAGACCCAAACAGGGTTTTACTTGCCCTGCTCTTGCTTGGGTTGGCTGGTATTTATAGTAGAAAGCATCTGTTGAGCATGTTTCTCATTTCAGGGTTTGTAAGTTGTATTCATGTGTCGACTTATCTGGGTTGCTAAATTTTCTATCACAGTTTTGTCAAAATTTTAAAATTTTATGTTAGTTGTGTGAGAACAAAAATGAAATACATGGATAACGCTTACCTTACAAATTGAGTCAGCAATATATTTCTCCAAAAGAGAACAAACAAATACTGCAAATGGTCCTGGGCTTTGAAATGACGACAAAAAAGGAAAGGAAGTTACATATGGCAATCAATTTGAACCGTTTGCTTAAACTTCAGAGGCTTTATACCATTTGCATTATCTGTTTGCTTCTTGAAAAGTACAAATTGGTGTTAGAGATCAAATAGTAGATTGTCATCTCTCAAAATAATTGTGTTTTTATGTGCACGGGCGAGCACGTGTAGCACAGAATTCTGGAATTTTTTAAAGCCACCATTCCCAATCTCATACCAGAGAAGTACACGCATTCCATTTTCTTATAGATGTTCAATTGCTTTTTCTTCTGCTCAGGTTAGCAGGGAAAGTGGCATTGGTGACTGGTGGAGCCACCGGTATTGGAGAAAGCATTGTGCGCCTATTCCACAAACATGGTGCAAAAGTTTGTTTAATTGATATGCAGGACAACCTGTCCTTGCAAGTCTGCGAATCCCTCGGCGGTGACCCAAATGTTAGTTATTTCCGTTGTGATGTCACAATAGAGGATGATGTTAGCCGTGCAGTTGATTTCACAGTCAATAAATATGGCACACTTGATATCATCGTCAACAATGCTGGGGTGTCAGGCTCACCTTGTCCCGACATCCGCAATGCAGATGTATCCGAGTTTGAGAAGTTATTTGATATTAATGTGAAGGGAGTCTTCCTTGGAATGAAACACGCAGCTAGGATAATGATCCCACTAAAGAAAGGCAGTATAATTTCTCTTTCCAGTGTTGCAAGTGCTTTAGGAGGCTTAGGACCACATGCATACACAGGGTCCAAGCATGCTGTATTGGGGCTCACCAAGAACGTTGCTGCCGAGCCTGGAATTCATGGGATTCGTGTTAACTGTGTTTCTCCTTACGCAGTTGCACAAATTTGGCTTTGGCTCACTTGCCCGAGGAGGAGAGAACTGAAGATGCCTGGGCAGGTTTCCGTTCGTTTGTAGGGGGAAATGCCAACTTGCAAGGAGTAGAATTGACTGTTGATGATGTAGCTAATGCTGTGCTCTTCTTAGCAAGTGATGAGTCCAAGTACATAAGTGGAGATAATCTTATGATTGATGGGGGCTTCACTTGTGTAAATCACTCACTAAGAGTATTTAGATGATGGGGTAAAGTTAATCGGATTGGTGCCTTGTTTCGAATGGCAGCTTGGAGCATGTTGCTGGAAAAGATTGGACGTGGATCGAGATTGCCGGAGGCTGGAAAGTTTAGAAGTCAATTAATTATTGCTCTTGGTATTTATAAATGTAAACGAGATTGTTTTTTTAACTGTATTGTGAACTAGATATGAATCATTACAGCGCATGAGTCTGCTTATAAAGATAGTGTTCATGCAGTGCTTGAACAATCATAAATAATAATTCACTGTCCCACATTTCTCCAAATTCGTTACCCCAAAAGCTCAAACCAGGAAGAATGAGAAATGACTACCGGTCTTTTCATGAGAATACAAAGAGATTGAAAGGACAGGACTCTTATGACAATAAACAAACGGTAACAACCATGACTCTGGTGACAACATCGGTAACAGCGATCCACCAAAACCAAATTTTGAGAGGTTAAAAGAATGAGATAATGTAAGAGTTTTTAATAACAAAACGTTCCTCAAGTTCACAAAACTATCAGCTATAAGATAAAGTACTATGCAAAATGGGCCAAAAGCGCACACTCAAAGTTAATGTTACAGAACTAGAGTCAAAACACTTCTGAATAATCCAAAGTCCTTGAATGAGAGGAACTTGAGGGGTCTTCTTAACTCAGTAGTTAAGAGTATTTACCCCGCACCCAAGGTCGTAGGTTCTATTCCCACTCCTAGAATACGCTTTTATAAGAAAAGAAAATAAAGAAATTGAATTTGGGAACATTTCAACAATGGAATACCATTAAATGGACATTGCTTGGCTCCTGATACATCAGGAGCCTTTCCTCCTCCACATGCGATGTGGCTTCTTTATAAAAAGACACCTGTTTTTTATTTATTTATATTTTTTTTTTCCAACTCTTTTCAACTCTTCTAACCCAAGCCCTTTTAACTCAGGTCACACTCTTCTCTCAGAGAGAGCTCCAAGGACGTAAACCTCAAACCATCGACCACGTAAATCTCCGATCATCGACAACGTAAATTTCAGGCGAACTTCTCTCACTGTTTGATTAATTCTTCTGGGATGGTTAGTACAACAACGTTGTTTCCCTTTCTTAATTTTGGAATTTTAGTTTTCATAATTCCTATACATGGCAGATTCTTCATATTTGGGGGTTGTTTTTCTTGACCACTTCCGATGAGTGGGTTTCTTATGTTTATATGGTTTATCAAAGTAGCATACTTGTAATGAACTTATGTTGATAAATATATAAAAACATCTATTTGATTTGTAATATAATCTTCTCTTTTCTCCTTGTAAGCTAACAAGGCTTTTAATTTGGGTGATATAAATGGTTATAAGTTGCAGCCAACCTGTTTGAAGAAATGTCTAAACCAAGTTGTGATCTTTTTTTTGTTTTGTTTTTGTGGTTTCCATTTTCTTAAATGATTTTAATTTCTAAATATGATCCAGTGGTTCTAATTGGTAGTGGCAATATTGTAGGTGGATGGAGATTCAAGAGTTTCCAAGACTAAGCAATATGTTATCCAGTGATGTCAACGTTGATTTGCAAGGTGAGGACAAATCTGATCCATTTACTCATTTTTCACCTACTAATGATCTGGATGAATTGAATAAGAATAATCAAGAGAAAATTGAGGATGATTTGCTTAGTAGAGAGTTTAGTTCTCATGAGAGTGCATATAAGTTTTATGTACAGTATGGTGGTGAAAGAGGTTTTAGTGTGAGAAAACAACATTGGAGGAAAAACAAATTGGGTATTGTGACACGGGTAACTTATTGTTGTTCAAAAGAAGGTCATCGAAGATATGACAAACGGCGTGAAAAAGTATCTTATTCTCAACCAATTTCAAGGGCGGGTTGTGAAGCACATATGACTTGCTTACTTCAAAAACATGGGAGTTTTAAGGTTACATCGTTTAAAGGAACCCATAATCATGCTTTGATTAGAACACCAATGAAGCATATGCTTAGGATTAATAGATGTATGTCTAAGGCTCAAAAAGCACATGCTGATGATGCTGAAAAATCAGGAATACCTATTAAAGCCACTATGGAACTAATGAGTAGAGAAGTTGGGGGACGAGAGAATCTTGGGTTTTTGGATAAAGATTACCGAAATTACATACATAAAAAGAGAAAGACAAATATGGAAAAGGGAGATGCTGGTGCTATATTGCAATATTTTCAAAAAGTTCAGTTGGATGATTCATCTTTTTTTTATGCAATGCAGCTTGATGAGGATGATATGATCACAAATATATTTTGGGCTGATTCACGTTCTATAAGTGACTATCGCCTCTTTGGGGATGTTGTTTGCTTTGATACGACATATCGGACAAATGAATATGGTCGACCATTTGCACCATTTGTTGGGGTTAACCATCATAAGCAAACAATTATTTTTGGTGCAGCTTTGTTGTACGATGAAACTGCAAAATCTTTTAAGTGGTTATTTGAGACTTTCCTTTCAGCGATGTCTGAAAAGCAACCAAAGACGATTCTAACAGATCAATCTGCTGCAATGGCTAGTGCAATCTTAGAGGTATTTCCTGAAACTTCTCACCGACTTTGTGTTTGGCATATTTATCAGAATGCTGCCAAAAATTTAAGTCATGTTTTTCATGGATCAAAAGAATTTGCTCATGATTTTAGCACATGTGTATATGATCATGAGGATGTAAATGAGTGGTTATTAGCATGGAATCATATGCTTGACAAGTATAGCCTCAAGGGGAACAAGTGGTTGAAAGAAATATTTGAATTGCGGGAAAAATGGGCCCTTGTGTATGGCAGAAGTACTTTCACGGCTGATATGAAAAGCACACAGCGTAGTGAATGTATGAACAATGTCTTAAAAAAATATTTGAAGCCAAAGCATAATCTTTTGCGATTTTTTGAACATTATGAGAGGGTTTTGGTAGACCGTAGATATGAAGAACTAGTTGCTGATTTTAAGATGCTGCAAACAACACCTGTACTATTACTAAGTGTAGAGATGTTGCGGCACGGAGTTGAGGTTTATACTCCGGAGGTATTTAAACTCTTTCAAGAAGAGTATAAGAGAATTCTTGATTATAACATATATAAAGTTGGTAAATCTGAGATGACAACCGAGTATAAAGTGTCTTATATAGGTAAATCTCAAGAGCACTTGGTTAAGTTTGAAGCTTCAACAGAAAAAGTCAATTGTAGTTGCCTGAAGTTCACGTTTGTTGGGATTTTATGTGCTCATGCAATGAAAGTGCTTGATAAGAAAAATGTGAAAAGGATTCCATCCCAATACATATTGAATCGGTGGAGGAGAGATGCAAAGGCTAAGAGTATCACTAGTTATAATGGATTTGGGATTCATGACAACCCCAAAGAGTCTATGGGAAAGCGTTACAACCATTTGTGTCGGAATTTTCGTGAGATTGCATCCTTTGCAGCAGAGCATGGGAAATTAACAGAATATGTTGATCAATGCTCCATTGATATGCTCAAAGGTTTAGAGGAAATAAAGACAAATCTATTTTGTGGAAATCAACATGTTGACAGAGTTGTTGAGCAAACTAATTCTGCTACACCACTTGTAACTGGAGTTAAAAGAAAGGCTACAGTTGGACGCCCACGCAATCGATTGAAGGACCCCCTTGAACGAAAAAGACAGAAAACATCAACAAAAGCTTCTGCAAGACGACAAATAACAATGCAGGTAACTCCATACATACTGACATTGTGAATATACTAAGTGCATAGTACTTTATACACCACTTATGAAATTTTTTGTTTTTTTTTCTGTCAAAAACCTGTTTGTAGGAAATTGATTTCGCAAGTGGAGGTTCACAAGTGCAACAGATTGTTGGACATGAGGTTCAAGCATTTCCTCTTCAAGGAAATTACCTTATCAGTTTCAGTTTGCATATAAATAATTGATTTAAACTTCTATTTTTCCTTATGCCCCTAATAGGAAACTTGTATGGAAAATGGAACCTACATGCCATTTTCAACAGTGGAAAGCTCTAATATGATGACAAGTTGGCAAGACAAAATTTCTTTCACCCAACTACTTCATGTAGGTATATTCATGATATTACTATTTCTTTGTTAAATTTACCTTATTAACTTGAAGCTTGGATACTTTGTAGGAACAAGTACATATTGATGCTTTTTCACAAGACCAAGAATTGGGAAGTTGAGCAAGATCTTTTTGCTGGATATTTTTTGGGTAGTGCAGCTATGAAATATTTAACAGATGAAGATTGCACAAGTTTTTTGTTGGGTTATGCAACATATCAAAGGATATCATACTTGTACATTTTGTGTAGCACATGGGTTAATAGGGATTGCACATTTTGTTTTTTGATTGTGCAACATCATTGACTTGAAGGATAAAAGTTGTATATGTGCTATTGTTGCTTAATGGGTGACAACGAAATGGTTTAATGAAAAGCTTTTTTATTTATTTATTTTTTTTCTTGGAACAGGTTGGATGCAACCTATACAACCAATTAACTTTAGCAAAAAAATATGAAAACCAGATAGCTTGCAAGGAGAAGAGAAAATTATATAACAAATTAAATACCTTTTATTTATTTATCAACATAAGTTTATTATAAGCAAGGATCTGGGAGTTTAAAGTAGTTGAAGTTTGTTGTTGAGAAGGCTTGAGTTAAGCTAAAACCAGCCATGGGTTAGAGAGTTGAAAGAAACAAAAAGCAAAAAAAACAAAAACAAAACAAACAAACAGGTGTCTTTTTGTAAAGTGACCACATGGTATGTTGAGGAGGAAAGGCTCCTGATGTATCAGGAGCCAAGCAATGTCCCCATTAAATTACCATGCCGAGCCCAAACTTTGAGTTGACTGTGGACCGTAAATATCAGGATATGACCTCCATAGTAGTAACGGTTCTTCGGTTCAAATAGAACCAATATAGATATAACTGAAAAACCAGAACCCCTTTTGAGTTCCTCCATGGCCACAAACCATTTTCCAACCTCAGAAACACCCTCTTGCAAAGCACACTGACTTACTGACTTACACTCTGCAAACCCTAATGGCTTCTCTTCAACCTTCATGGCTCGCTTCCCTCAACACCATCTCTTCCACAACAAAACCCACTCTTTTCCCCTCCACAAACCTTAACAAGCCCCACCCTTTAAAACCATTCAAACTCTCCTTCTCTCTGAACCCACCCAATGCTGAATCTTCACAACCCAACTCTCCAAATTCGCCCGAAACAACGCCGGAAGCCGAGCCTGGGCCAACGGACCCTGTCAAGCTCGCACTGGAGAATGCCAAGGCGTATAAGAAGTCAGTGCAAATGAACAAGAAATTGAAAATTGAGAAAAACCCAGTTAAGAATGGTGATGGGATTGCTGGAAATGGTGAGTCGGGCCCGGATGGAGCTGGCGGTGGGAAGAAGGAAGTGCCAGCTGCGGTTAAGATTGCAATGGAGAAAGCTAAAGAGTATAAGAAGAGTAAAGGCATTGTGGGTGGTGACATTAATGCTGGGGATAGTGACAAAATTTCAGGTAATTTTGAAAAAAAAGAAGATTTGAAATTAGAGTTGAAGAGTGACAGTTTCCATGTTCTATTGAAGTGAAACAGGGACTTGTGTTAGACTTACAAAAATTTAGGTGTTTGTTTATTTGCTTTTTCATCAATGGTAGAAGGTTTAATAATCTATAAGTTCTGTTTTGATTTTTGTTTTTCTGAGTTTGCTTTTCCATTATTTTTCTGAGCAATGCACTGGAGTTTTCTAAGGTGATAGCAAACACAAAATACCATTGGAGGTTCTGCTCAAGAATGAATTATGTAATTTAAAATGTGGGGTAAAATTTGTATTTCAATTGTCTTATAGGTTTGGAGGAAAGTACTGGGGGAAACTTGGGGAATGAGATAGTAGACAAGAAGGGAAAATTGTCAGTTTCAAGTATTGATTTTGTGGGACTTGGCTTTGCGGATAAGAAGGAGGGTAGAGGACTGCCAGCTGGGTTGGTTCCAATAGCTGACTATTTTCCAGAAGGGAACTCACCTGACGTTGAGATTATAGTCGGGGACGCTAGAAATTTTGATGCAGTGGCACGGAAGCCAGAGCAGACTCAAGGAGACAACTCAGATCTTTACAAGCCAAAAGTTTCTTCATGGGGTGTATTTCCTAGACCGAACGACATTTCAAAAATGGTATGACAGTTGATGTCACAATTAGTGTTACATTAGCGTGTTTGATACATACATATAACATTATACATGAATAGGGGCATTCATTTTTAAACGGATATTTGAAGAAGTGCCCAGGAACCATATGCAATCAATCCTAAGAATGAAATAGATGGGTCGCGTTTCGCAGCTATAGGTTATTTTTAAATGCCTTCATATATTGTAAATCTTCATTGAAGAGTTTGGCTCCCTCACAGACTGCTCTATCAAATTAAATTGAAAAGATGGAAACAAGAGCTTAATTTCATCTTATGTGAATTCCTCAGTTGACTCTGGAAGTAGCTGATGCGTTGTTCTTAGTACATATCATGTAGGGAAGATGTTCACTTATATTTTGTTTGATCATGTTTCAAGTTTCCACTGGTAGTATGTATTCTAGTTACTCTTTGGTGTTTAAAACTATTGAAGAAATAGGTGCAAAAATCTTTTATGAACTAATTTGACCATAGATTGATGTTATTTATCTGACTTGATGGCAACAAGACAATTGGTTTATATCCTTGAACTTCACACTGGTAAATGTTAACACTGTAAATGGATTCACAACTTTGTACTGTGAGATGACCATTTATAGAGTGAAGTTTTTGAATTGGGAATATTACTGTGATAGTGAAACAGCTGCTGTATTTCTGTATTAGGGGAAGGGATTGAAAATGTGATTGATCTAACTGAGTTTCTTTATTTGTTCAGTTTGGTGGTGGAAGAGTTATACACCCTGGGGAAGTGCTGGAAACAGCTGAAGAAAAAGCTGCTAAAGAAGCACGCACAAGACAATTAGTTGCTGATTACAAGAGTAAAATGGGCATGAACATTGATCCAAAGCTAAGATCTGAATGTGAGAAGGTTGGCTTCTATTGAAATTTTTCGTTGTCTGCTTGTATGCCAAAATATTTTCTTCCCCTGAAAACCCTTTTCCCTTGCTTCCTTTTGTCATTTCTTAATTTACTCTATTCATTTGTTTGTTTCATAGAAGTCGAATTTCAGATAATGTCATTGTAGAATATGTTTCCTTCTCTATTTGCAATTAACATGAATAGGCTACTTGGTTTATTCATATCTGAACTTATTGTTTTTTTTATTTTTATATAATGCTCAGACGAATATAGGAATTTGAAATGTTTCTAAAATTCTTTTGTTATTTGCAGGTTTTGAGATATTTTACTGAGTAGAGATCATGATGAATTTAAAATTAGGTCAATCAAATTCTTCTGGGTACTGGAAATGGATTTAAAATTAGGTTAAAAGTTTAAAGTCAAATTCTAGTGGCGTCGTCAGGTTGGTGTTTTGGGTGGTGCCACTGGTCTAGATCTTAACTAAACTAGATGTTGTTGGAGTTATCCATGAATGCAGTAAATTTGTAAAAAAAAGAACAAAAACCAAATTATATGATCCCTTATAAATCCTAAACTAAAATTTGCTAGCTCTCTATAAAAGGAAAATAGATTTTGGGTTTCCATTCTAAATACTTCCAGATTTCGACTATGGTTGACTGATGTAAGACTGGAAGAAAAATATATAGCAATGTTACTGATTGTGTAACTTGCGTGCGATTGATGTTTTCTGTAGAGAAGTGAAGAACATAGCATCACACTAGTAGGATTCTTGGAATCCCCTAGAGACCTTGGGCATCACACTTGGCTGTGTTGCATCATAGAATCCTAAAGAGAAGCATATGCTACTGAGACAATTCTGTGAATTATTTCATATGCCAAAATAAATGAATACAGCCTGTATACAGAGTCTTGTAGTGACCTTACGCTTCTGTGATTTTCAGACACGGTATTATACAAAATTGGAAACTGAAACTCTTGAACGTGTAAATCTTATAACAAAATCTTGAGTATTATGGTTTTGTAATCTTGCCCTTCACCATCATCTCATCTTAAAGAATCCAATAAAATTATACAGCGTTGGCATTTCTAAAATTAATAATTTTATATGCAGGCACTAAAGGATGGTGACACATTGATGGATGTTGGAGAGCTTAAGGAAGCATTAATCTACTATGAGCAGGTTATGGATAAGTTACCATTTAAGGTAATGTTGCTGAACTGCATGCTCATATAAAACAATAAATAAATTTTGCTACGAACATATTTGGACAATGGGTATTTTTTACTATGACGAAATGATACATACCTCTCTGATTTGCCGCAATTTCAATAATTTACATGCCAATTAGTGTTCCTTGTAGGAGTATTGTTGTAAATTGTAAGACTCGATAAGATTGTAAGTTGACTGATATCGTTTATGTTGTCAGCTTATACCATCGCAAACAAGTATTTTATTGGGAGAAGTATTGAGGACTTGTCATGCGTTGGTCCTTACTAACCCTGGTTAAGCAAAATGATTTACCATGTCTTCATAATCTTTCGCAGGCACAATCTTTGGTTCAAAATATCTGAATCCAAAATTTTCATTTCCTGATATCCAATATTAGTGACAGTGACATAGCAATTACTGTCGATCATACCCCGTTAATACGTGACTGGATTTAGAAATTCAGTGCAACTGATATACATTGATTGAATCTATTAGTTGAATCCA